AGCCACACTAACTATAATCTTTATCACAAAGGGGTTTAAAAAAGTTTTTAAAAAAAAGTATTAAGCCATGCCATGTTGTCTTCATCTAAAGCTTCATATTTTATGTTAGATCCAGTTCCAACCAAGTAATTTAAGGAAGTATTGCCTTTGATCTCCTCCTTCATTTTAGATGTGATTAATCTATCCCCTTTACAGGGATATGTACACCAGATGTACATGACTTGAAACAGATGACTTGGTCAATTATAGACCTTTATCCAATATTCCTTTCTTATCTATAATTGTTGAGAAAGTCATTGCGAAACAAGTGTGTGACCACTTACACAATAAGAAACATTTTGAAAAAAATAAATAATTTGTTACATTTATTACAATCTTACTTCTTAATAATTTTAGATATCCAGAATTTATATACTATATTTATTCTATGATGTAAACTATTATTATCCTTTACAACTGATACTGATAAGGTTTTTACTTTGTTAAAATCACAGCTCCAAAGCTAATAAAATGATCACTTGTTACTCTATCCCATAAAATTAGGTAAATGTGCATTTAATTAAAACAAATATTGCTCTTAATGAAATGTGTTGGAATTGTTGTGATGAAAATAGGTTGAATTTCATAACTAAGAAGATGTAAAAAGATTAAAAGTTATTTCTCTACTTGGTATATAATGCTAGAATTAGGAGTTGGTTTCTAAAACTTGGTCCAAGGAGTAAAAAAAAAAAAACAGCTTGTCCCACATTTTTTTAAAGTGTAAACATTATCAACGAACATGTTAAACTATGCAGAAACACAATTAAGAGCAGATCAATCAAAGTGGACTTCAATAACGGGAGCCTGTAGCAAAAGCCACCCATTGCAGATCATTTTCCTGACCCATTGCTCACAAAGCTGTTCAGTTAATCCTGTATACCAGGGGTCTTCAACGTTTTCCAGGCCAAGGACCCCCAAACTGATGGTGAGATGGAGCGAAACCCCCTAATAATATGTATATTTGTATGAAATTGCGTTCAAACTGGTCCTAAAGTCACTCTATTACATATGGAGTAATGTAACGAAAATAATTCCTCCCTGAGATTATTAAAGTATTTCTGATTCTGATTCCTTGTTGATGGGACAGATGCTGTGAATGAAACGGTGCCCAGCTTGAAAGAGCTCCTGTGTGTCGCTGAATGTGTGCATTGATCATGGGCGGTTCAAGAGAGGGGCCAACGGGGGCCAGTAGATCATGTCCTGGCCAGTTATGGCCCCTGTAATGAATACATAATACTCAAAGAAATTCTAATGATGATATGCACTGCAACACACATGCTTACTGATAGGTCCTTTGGATCCATTTTTTTTCTTTTAAAAATTCTGTTTTACTAATTATTTAAAAACAATAAGGTGATAGCTTCAGTGGTATTTAGATAGGATCCCAGTTGCTAAAGGTCAAATGCTAAAGTCATTTGCTAAAGGTTTTTTTCGAAAACAAATTGCGCTAATTTTCAGCTCAGTTTACCTGACTTCTAATTCAGATTTTAAAGAAGCGGTAATTTTAACTTAAATTAAGTCAAAAATATGTAAAATCCCTAAATTATGAATGTATATTGACCTAATAAGACATAGAATTTCAATTAAACCTAATTGAATAGAAATTTCACTTCATGCAGCTCTCTTAATATATTTGAATCCCTTGCCGGTTTTTATCTCATGCTTTTCTGTGCCCCCATGAAAACACGCTGGCCCCCTCCTGGCCCCCTGGTACGTTTTATGGAAAGTGAATGTGTGTGATTTAAAAAAAACAAAAACCTCCTTGTATTCATGTCTTTGTATTAAAACTAGAAAGATGTATATTGTCAGATTAGCATAACAAAATACTATGGAGGGAAAAGGTTAGCTCCAAAATCCTGAATATCTCATTTCAGTGGTGTGCGCTAAAAATTGTTAAGTGGTTAGTAGTGAGATTGAACGTTAAAAGAAAACAGATATAAAAAAAAAAAAGGTTTTATTTAGCCAAACATGACTCATACAGGGTATCACAAAAAAACAGCAGTACAAATCCAAAATAGAAAAAAAAAAAATCAAAAACAAAACATTACTATTAACAGATTTTAAAACCTGGCAAAAATAAATCTTACTTTTACAATATCAAACTTTTAACTTGTGTGTGTTTTTTTAGGTTAGAAAATTAGATTGCTAGTGTGTATGCTAGCTATCTAGTTTATGCTAGCTAACTGTAGCCTGAATCAGTGTTCCTTAAACCCAGGTCCTAAAGATGCCCGACATGTTTTAAAAGTGTCCCTTCTTCAACACAACATTCAAATGACTGGGTTTCAGTAACAGGCAGTTAATCAGCCATCATTTGAAATCAGGTATGCTGAAGCAGGGTAGCATCTTAAACTTGCAGGGTAGTAGCCCAGCCATTGAGAACCAGGGTTAAAAAAACAGCAGCTTCAATGAGCACAGCTAAACATCAGGTTCTTTGAAAGTTCATACATTCAAACAATGTTTTTGGTTAACGCCAATCTATTAATAATCAGGAAAATAAATCTAAGAATGTCAGTTTTTCACCTTTATTTTTTCTCCACATTTTCACATTGTTAAAACAAAGGTAATATCAACTGTTTTGTAGGTATTTAAATATCCCATATAATGAAAATT